GGGGGAAGCACAGTAAGCAAACCTGAACACATTTTATTCATTTGTTTTAACACGAATCACACTGTCTACCCAAAGGGGCAGTGTTCAAGAATACAAGAGCAGCCATGCAAGATCAGACCAGTGGTCTATCTAGTCCAGCATCGTGTTTTGCACAGCACAGTGGCCAAGCAGATGCTGCCTCTCTGTTCCTCCCCAGCACCGTTGTTCAGAGAGTTACCACTTTTGAACTTGGGGGTTCCATGTAGTCACTGTGGCTAGTAGCCCTTAATAGACATCTCCTGCATTTGCCTAATCTCCATTTAAAGTCAGCTAAACTAACGGCCACCTCAACATCCTGTGGTAGTGAACTCTTCTTGAAAGGAGAAGGATTTCCTGTTGTCTGTCCTGAGTCTAATGGCCATCGAATTCTTTGGGCCACCCACAAGTTCTACGTTCATGGGAGAGAGATGGGGGGGAAATCTTTCTCTCCACTTTCTGCACTGCATGTGTGATTTCTTAAATCTCTATTTTTTTTCCCTTTAGCCATCTTTTCTCTAAATTCAAAACACTTTTCCTTGTAGCCAAGGTGCTCAGATCTCTTGGCCATTTTTCTTGCTCTTTCCTTCTCCTTTTCCAACTTTACAGTGTGACAACTAGAACTGTATTCTAAGTGCAGCCATACCATTTAGCTTTCCGGGGTCCAAAAGGGAGCGAAACTGGAGAATGCTCCATGCAAACATGTCTTTCTGTCTTTTTCCTTATTTCCAGTATGACGTCCAGAGGGGACCGTTTGAATACTTTGCTTTATGTATAGTGGCTAGCACACAACAGGTGGTGGAGAATTGTGAAGGAGCAGTAACAGTGATTATTGATTTAGTTGGAGGATTTCTGCCCTGCCTTTCCACAAAAAGAGCACTCTAAGCCCAAAGGCCTAAAACTGACAAGAAAAGAACTAACCAGCGACAGCACGGTGACTGTCCATCATCAAAACAGCAGTCATTAAAACAAGCAGTCAGCAGTAGAAGTCTCCAGTCACATCAGGCAATCGGTTCAATGCATCTGTTTGCCATATGTTTCTCTGGTATAGAACAGCTTTTGCAGTTCCAGCAGAGGGGCTGGTCTCGCTCTGTCTATTGATTCTCCTTCCTTCTTTTTCCTGTCAGTTGAGACTGAAACAAATTGTTGGAGTGAACAGCACCTGCAGAGTGTTGTTGGGGAGATGTGGAATTGACGGGTCCGTTCTGTGGGTATTTTCAGAGTGCGATTCTTGGATGAAGAAAACAAGCAGCTCCAAGAACACACCCTGCAGCTGAGAAGTCACGTTGGCGCCCTGGAGCGTGCCCTGCGGAACATTCACAACCACAGCTTAGAAGTAAGAACATCCGGTTCAAGTCTTGTCTGTGACGGGACCCCACTCCCACCCTCCACCGGCATGCCTCCTCTCACGCTGCTCGGGGTAAGGACTGACCCCAGACCCTCTTTCTCCCTTGGCGTCTTGCAGCCCACCTTCAACCAGCCTGCTGCTTCTCCTTCATTTTCCAGTGCTATTCTTCCCATACTTTTCTCAGCGGCTTCCTGGAATCCAATCTCACCCACCCTTTTCCTGATGCCGTTTTGCTTTAAACAGGCCATCTAAATTTGCAAAACCCGGAATTCCGTTGAGGGGTTGCTGTCCTGGTAATTCCCCAAACCCAGTTCTGAAAATAATAGCACTTAACCAAGATCTCTTATACTTCCATAAACAACAGTACATGTTCATTCCAAATTGTGTGTCCCATCACAATTATATCTGTATTATATGTACCATCCTGTAATAAAATAGGAGATCAGAGGCACCTTTAAAGATCTAGCAGAATTTATTCCAGCATAAGGTTTCATGAATAGAGTTTACCTCATCAGATGTGTGAAGTGTACTTTTACCTGATAAAGTGAGCTCTGCCTCATGGAAGTAACCGGGTCTCCTGTTTTGCTGCCCCAGATTCACACAGCTCCCCATCTGGAATTATGCATAGTTTGTGATACTTAAACCCTTTAGTACCAAGCGCTCCGCGTAATGGCACCAGGTCCTGCATTCTGGAATGAAATGTGCGTGATAAATATATTTATTACTACCAAAGCCATGATGCAGTGTGGCTTTCAGCAAAAGTGCCATTTTGTATGTGCAGCAACTCACTGTTTCTCAGAGTGAAAGTGCAGACACAGATTTAAAAAATGGAGGTGGGGGGGTCCTTCTGATCAACTCACTATTTCTCAGAGTGAAAGTGCAGACACAGATTTAAAAAATGGAGGTGGGGGGGTCCTTCTGCTCAAAATAAAAGAAAGGTTTGGTTGTAATTATGTTGAAGAGAAAAGGAGCACAGTTTAAAAAGCCGTAGTTTCCCCCCAAATAACTTAGAGTAATTTTACAGGGGCACCAGGAGTCCTTTGTTTATCCGGCATGATGGTGAACAAAACTGGGAACTGGTCTGGTTGTGTACCACTATGTGTCTTTAATTGCCTGACCGAAGAAGCAGCGCATGTGTGCTTCCTTAATCTTGCCCCTTCAGGTCTCCCCTCTCACTGATAGTGTTTCCATCTTTGTTATTCCTGATTATTTTTTGACAGCCCAAGAAAGCCAATGCTTAACAGTTAAAAACATGGTTTAATTTCTTCCTCTGTATGTGCTAAACCCTTTTCCAGGAACTGAGGAGCGTCGGCTTCCCTGAATGCCAGCTGCAAAGCAAAGTGCTGCCCCTTCCCAGCATAAGGTACGGTTCCCGTACTCTGCGTGCGTGAGTTGCAGAGCGCCTACCATGCCTGCTGGTTTTTCCTTTCCTCTGTTTTGTTTGTCCATCCCCACAACAAGCGAGGGGTAAAGTCTGGTTCCCAAGCCCACCCCCCTCCAAGTGGCGCGGCGAAAGGCTGAGAAAACAAGGTGAGAAGTCCTTGGTTTGAATCTCACCTCCGCCATGAACTCCTTCAGTGGCCTAGAGCAAGCAACTCCCGTTCAGCCACGACCTCGCAGATGGGTAGGTAGAAACGACGCAGTTGATTCAGTAGACCTGCCTGGCAATCATGGGACCGATTTCTCTTCCAGCTTCTCTCCAAAGGGCCTGTCGGACACGTTCAGCCTCCTGAAAGCCATTCAGGGTGTCAGACCTGAGGACTCAGCAGAGAGCTCTCCACTCTCCCCTTTGCCTTCCCAACCTTTGGAGATTGGTTACCTGAATGTGGCCTCTCCGGGAGATACCACAGACTGCCACAAGAAGGAACAGGAGCATTCCTCCTGCTCTGATGATGTCTAAGGCAGGGGTGTCAAACATATGACGTGCGGACTGGAACCGGCCTGTCCAGAGCTCTTATCCGGCCCACAACCAACCGATTACCTTTACTGCCAGATGACAGAGGCTATGTGCATTATGTCCCTGTATACTGTCCCAGGGCTAATGAGTAATGGACGGTGGAAGTGGGAGGGCGGGCCTCAGGGAGATACTGCAAGGAAATACTGTAAGAATGTTAATGCTTTGAGCATGTTTGTATCTTGAGCAGGGCCTCAGGGAGGACTTTTATGTGGTTGCACATGCGCCGTTGGGCGTTCGTGCGCATCCTGTGGAGACTAAAAAAAAATCCGGTTTGCAACGGGACATGGATGGGCGCCGGATGCCATGGGATTCAAGCGGAAACGTGATCAGACACCCGCCCCTGCCCCGCGGTTTCTGGAAACTAGTGCGCTTTCTGCAGTAGTTTTTTACGCTGCATCTTTGGCGGGAAGCCACAGGTTAGCCGCGGGTGCACTACGCTTCCCAGATGTTGTGGTGTGATCGTGCACCAAAAATCCGCCTGTCATTCGTGTCTTTAGCGTGGCAACTTCTCCGTGTGAACGGGGCCCAAATTGGGTTTGCCTGTCTCCTTTATAAAGTTTATATCTCCAGTACCTGGCATTACATTCTATGGAAGACATAAAATGTAGAAGTCCAATGAAATAAATAAATAAAATGGCCCGGTGGACAAAGTGACATTTATGTCAGATCTGGCCCTTGTAACAGATGAGTTTGACACCTAGTAAGGTGACAAAGGAAAAAAGATGGAGAAGAGTTGTAGAGGGATCCCAGGAGGCAACTTTCCACGTTTGGTCCTGTTTGTCTGGTTAACTTTGAGACTTGTTTAAAACCAAGAGTCTTCGGAATACTTTTTTTAATTGAACTTGTACTCTTGTAAATATGAAACTGATTTTGTACTGGATTTAAAAATATATATACTCAAAAACATTATCTGTGCTGTTTCTGAATCAAGTCTTTTAGCGGGAGTCCCAAGCTTTCCTTCCCTTTGCATTGTTGCTAATCCAGCATACATTCATGCTTGCGAATAAAGGTTAAGGATCCCATTGTAGCTTCCAAACCTCACAAATTCATCTTGGCTTCAGTGGGGCAAAGTCCTAGCCAAAAAGCTTCTCTTCCATCTTTTTAAACATTGAGTGGATTCATATAATCATTTTATTCTGTCCGAAAGTGGGGTTTAAAAAGGCATTTGAAGAATGCTTTCAATGTACCTGGCATTTTATATAGAGTAGCAAGAGGGGAAAAGGTAGGATCCCACCCTGATGCGGTATTTATAATCTAAGGCCAAAAAATTGCACGGGCCGTTGTAATGTCATGATTGTTTGGTATATCTGTAAAAACATGTTTTTTAAAAATGTGAAAACATAAGCATTCTACCCACTTCCTGAAGCCACCCTGTCCCCTTTTATTGGTTGTTTATCGTAGCTGTTAAAACATCAGTGGAGAGAAGTGCTTTGCAAAGACCACTTAAAGTGTGACCCAGTAAGACAGAGAGGTTTCAGCAAAGGCTTTTAAGGAGCTGCAAGCCTTTTTGCTTGTTCTGTAACAAGAGATTTCCATCCTGGAATTGCTGTATGATCAGAGGCTCCTTCTCTTTACACCAGGGGTGGCCAAACTTGCTTAACGTAAGAGCCATATAGAATAAACATCAGATGTTTGAAAGCCGCAAGACATGAACAGATATTACATGTTTTTATTGGAAAAGATGCACATTTGCTTTTTATTAATATTAAATGAGACCGCCAAAAATAATAACAAAAGGTGTAAAAGCATGATATTTATTTGTACAATGATATTTGTTTGCTAATGATATTTAGCTTCCCCAGCTGCCCTGCCGGGAGCCGCACAATTAGGTGTGAAAGAGCCGCATGCGGCTCCTGAGCCACAGTTTGGCCACCCCTGCTTTACACAGACATGTTTACAAGCACTGAAATACATGAAGCTGCCTTATACTGAATCATACCATAGGTCCATCAAAGTCACCGTCTACTTGGACTGGCAGTGGCTTTCCAGGGTCTTAGTGTGAGCTAGCTCACAGTTTTTTAGCCTCTGGCTCACACATTTTTGTCTTAGCTCAGGAAGGATGGCTCCAGAGCAAACGGATTTATGCAGTAGCCAAATCACCTGCTCACAACTTTAATGCCAGTAGCTCACAAAGTAGAACTTTTGCTCACAAGGCTCCACAGCTTAGAGGGAGCATTGTTGGGGATTGAGCCTGGGACTTTCTGCAAGCGAAGCAGATTGAGGGAGAACAAAAGTTGAGTTTAGTAGCACCTTTAAGACCAACAAAGTTTTATTCAAGGTATAAGTTTTCATGTGCACGCACACTTCCTCAGATACATTGAAATGGATGTTACCAGTCCATATAGGTAGAGAGTGAGCATTGAATTAGCATACAACATAATAGATGCAAGGACCAAACAGAAATAACAAGCTTAGTTTATATGCTCACCATTTGTTTGGATTTAATTCCAGGGGAAAACATAGTGAAGGAAAGAAATTTATCAAAATTGGAGATTGGAATGCTGAGAGTTATTAACGGAGACCCCGTTGTTACACTCCATCCATCTCTTCTCAAGCAAGGAGGTAACTAACAGCATCCTTTAAGGCGGGGTGACTGGTTGTGCAGTGTTATGTCTCCTCTGTTGCCAGATCAGAGAAATGCATTCCAACCTACAATTCCAAATTACATTACATTCTGCTATTCATTGCATTGTGCTACAATCACTATTCCAGTCTACTATTCCAAATGTGGCCTTCCTTCAGCATAGATGAAACTCTGTTGTACCTGATGGTGTTTGTTGATCACATCTGTTTGGACGCTAGGAGGAAGCATTCAATGTAGAAATCCAATGTGGCACTGCGACCAGCAGGAGGGGCCCAATGTGGAGTTTCTTTTTTTATAGAATTGGTTTGATGGTAGTAGTGGTTAGTATCTTGTTCATTTGTAGGTTGGAGGGATGGTAGTTGGGAGAGAGTAATGCTAAAGAGGAAAAGGGAAGGTGGGTTTCCTTATATCTCCATCCCTAAAGGATGGAACCGAACTAAAAATAATAAGGAAGAGAGGTGGAGGGAACGACGGCCTCGTCCCTTTACAATGGCTGCTTTCAGTTTGCAGCCGGAAGTATAGAAGTATGCACATCTCTTTAGTGCATACAGAAACTTTTTTGTCTGTAGGGTCCACGCAAGCAAATCCCCAAGTAAGACATAGTTCGTGAAACGCTAGACTTGCGGTTCCAAATTGACATTTTAAAAAATGCATCCTAGGCAAAAAAAATCGGGATGTAAACACCACAATAACCAATTATTACTAATTATAATTATAACTTATTAGGTCCAACAAAATGATACCGAATCGAGGCAAAGAGAAAAGAATCGCGAGGACAACGTATTCCTGCCTGCTGTCCCGCAAATGGCGGCCGCCGGCTGAGCCGGAAGTGACGTTACCAAGCCGTTTTGGTTCCAATGCGTGGCTGCGTGGATCGTCTTCCAGGTCAGAGTTGGTCACCATGGCGGTGCTAGCATCGAATCCTAACAATCCGGTGGTGTTTTTCGATATCACAATAGGAGGCCAGGTAGGTGCCTTGAGGGGATGGAGGGGGAGCAGCTTGTGTGAGGAAGCTGCGGGTCTGATATTCTGCTCTTGCCCAGGAGGTCGGCCGCATGAAGGTGGAGCTCTTCGCCGACGTGGTGCCGAAGACGGCGGAGAATTTCAGGTAGGCTGCCATGCGGAGTTCGGGAGGGGGGAGCCGTAGATACTAAGGAGATACTAAGTGGCTAGAGCGACACCATCCCGCCTTCATCGGCACTTCCGGAATCAAGCCCTTCCCTTGGAGTGCCGCCGCCTGAACGCTTTCATCATAGAGAGGGCGGACATAGAGAGTCCGCTCAACGTGTCCACAGGAAAAGCATGACCGCGTTTCCTTTTAAAACCGGAAGTGTGCCGTGAGTGCTTGTCTATGTGATGCTAAGCTTTCGAGGCTTGGAGCCATAGAGGACTGAGGGATAGAGTGGCTCTCTTCATTATTGAGGGGCGAAAAGTTAGAGCGCTGCGAGAGGCCGGGGGTGGCGGCCTCCGCTTAGCCAAGGGAGATGCGCCTCTCTGGGCAGGCGCTTCGACGGTCTCTTGACTCGGAGCGATAAATTGCACTCCTCAGTTAGCTTGGAATTGGTGCCCATCCTAGAAACGAATGGTGGTGGATCGATTGGGCTGTTTTCTTTTAATTTAATGAATTATTATGACTTTTGGCAGACGTGCTTAATTGTTTTTTGTTTTTTAAGTCTATGAAATGTGAACAACTTATTAAATGACCGTCACTCTTTGGGTTTTATTCTGGAACCCACCCGTTTCTTTTTATGCTATTAAAGCAACTATAAAGCCACAGTAGACAGGACTGTTTGTTTTTGTTTTTTAAACTCAGTTAAAAATATGCAGTAATCTGATTCTTCCCTGAAGATCACTGCTGGGAGAAAATTGGCTGGTCTGACACTCCTTCCAGCTCCTGCAGGGCATGGCAGCAAAGCGCACCCAACCCCCTTACTGACAAAATTGGGTTAAGTAAACTTTTTGAGCTGCGGTGGCTCAAGTGGTTAAGACACTGAACTGCAGGCTGTGGAAGGTCGGTAGTTCAGCAGTTCGAGACTCGAGTTTGCCGCATGACAGAGTCAGCTCCCGTCTCTAGTTCCAGCTCCTGCCAACCTAGCAGTTCGAAAGCAAGACATTGCAAGTAGATAAATAGGTACCACTTCGGTGGGAAGGTAACAGCGTTCCGTGCGCCTTGGCGACTAGTCATGCCGGCCACATGACCACGGAGACATCTTCGGACAGCGCTGGCTCTTCGGCTTTGAAACGGAGATGAGCACCGCAACCCTAGAGTTGGATTCGACTGGCTTTCAAGCAAGGGAGACCTAAACTTTTTGTGCAGTGAAGTGCTTGGTTTCAGTGCTCGGCTAATCACTTGACCAGCATACAACCAAAATAGGGTTGCTGACCTTCAGGTGAGAATACAACAAGAGGACCATGGTGTAGATGGTAGAAAAGCACCATGTAATAAAACAGTAATATAATCTTAATATAATTACAGTAACAGTAATATAATCTTAATTCCACTCAAACTTTTTTGGTTTTTTTCTTCCAATATATTGGGTGCAATGTTTGCCCCAAAGGGTTATAGGTTGACATGAAAGTCTAAACAAATTGAAGATGCAGGAAATTAGTAAGACAACGAGAGCCGGTGTTGACTTGTTTCTGCTGCTTTTCTCAGGTCTTACAGAATCTTCTCTAATATACTGACTGACAGGTGCATTTTTGTAAAATTTCTTGTAAATTCCACAGGTCCCTAACTTACTGTCAGCTGTCAGTATATTAGACAAGAATTCTCAGCATATAGATAGGGGAATCTCTGCCAGCTGTGAATCTTGTTAGGCTGAGTGCCAGGTTTTTGAGAATTTGATTGGCGATTCCCACTTTTCCATGTGGTAAGGAATTGAGTGAGGAGGCTATTGCATTATTTAAAATTTATTAGTATTCATATGACCATTATAGTAAATTCATTTTGACCTTTTTCAGCATTATTTGATGAATATACTGAAGCGTACACTATGCAACAGATTGAAAACAACATTAGGTAGTTATAAAAAACTTTTTTTTATAATTTTTGTTAATTCCATTTTGTATTTCTATTTACTATTACTGTTTTTCAATTTTGCACTTGTAGAAACCTGTATCTCTTGTATTCCGAGGAAGGCAGCACAAACGAGTCATCCCCGGCTCTCATCTTACTAATTTCCTGCATCTTCAATTTGTTTAGACTTTCTTGAAAGAAAAAAACAAAAACATTGAGTTGATTTAAGGTTGTATTACTGTTCATTACATGGTGCTTTAGTATTAATATTTTTGACCTCCAGGATACAGAAATCAGTTCCCCTGGAGGAAATGACAGCTTCTGAGGGCACACTGTATGCTGTACAGTCGAGATGAAATCCCTCTCCACATTTACCTCTTCCGTTGTCTCCACTCCCAAATCTCCAGGAATTTCCCAGGCCAGAGTTGGCAAGCCTAATAACAGTGCAACCCTATGCAGAATTACTCCACTTTGAATTCAGTAGGTTTATTCTGGAGTGACTCTACATAAGAGGGTCCGTGTCTCAGTGGCAGAGTATCTGCTTGCCATGCAGAAGGTGCCAGGTTCAAGCCCCAGCAACTGCAGTTAAAAGGACTAGGTGGTAGGTGATTTGACAGACCTCTGCCTGGGACCCCAGACCGAGTCACTTCCAGTCTGAGTAGACAATACTGACTTTGATGAATTGAGGGTCGTATTCAGTATAGGACAGCTTCACGTCACATCTTCATGTGATTGCATTGCGGTGGTATGTGAAGCTCAAGATTTGTTGATAGTTCTTAGTCTCTCTGCCTCCACGCTTTTCCCACGTGGTGCTTCTGGCACCTGGGGGGACATTTGCACTCATGTGGCTCATGCCAGGCAAATGTGGATTGGACCACACGGAGACGCTGGAGGAGTGCAGTTCTACGGTTTTGCACTGAGACCCTGACCTTCAAATGTTGCCTTTCCATTGGTTAACGGAGAGTCAGTTTAGTGTAGTAGTTAAGAGTGGCAGACTGTTATCTGGGGAACTGGGTTTGATTCCCCACTCTTCCGCATGTAGCCGGCTGGGTGACCTTGGGTCAATCGCAGTTCTCAGAGCTGTTCTCCCATGAGCAGTTCTCGAAAGAGCTCTCTCAGCCCCACCTACCTCACAGGGGGTCTGTTGTGGGGAGAGGAAGGGAAGGAGACTGTAAGCTGCTCCGAGACTCCAAATGAAGGACGGGGTATAAGTCCAATCTCTTGTCTCCCACCCCCGCCGTTCTTGTAAAGGACCAGGGACACCTCTGTGCAGCACTCCTGCATTTCCCCAGTGTCCCCTGGGTCATTGCTGCTATTTCTATATGCCTTAGGAGAAGACTGAGAAACGCAATGCCTAAGCTTTCAGTATTCATGAAAGTGGCCTTCGACAGTGATTCTCTCTGGATGGAGAGTGGTGTCACTCTACTGCTTACCGTTTCTTTGGTGAAAGCCTTCTATACTTTGTGTTGTCAAACCAGCACAGGACCAGAAGGGCTAATGATGGCATGGCACTGGGACTCCTCGCTAACTATCTGGCGGCCTGGTTGAGGCGGAGAAAGAAATCTTGCTAATTAAACTCCTCCCCACCCCCTTGAATTGTTAAGAGTGCCCCTTTAGGCCTACCCAAGGCATGGCAGGATGAATCAGCTTAGTGGTTGGCTTCCGTTTTGAAGAAAAGCAACACTGGACTTTTGAGACAGCAACGTTACATGAGTCTGTACAAAAATGTACTCCATTTATACTCCACTTTTCTCCCCAATGAGGACCCAAAGCAGCTTGCTTTGTGCACCTTCTCTCTATGCCGTCCCACAACAACCCTGAGAGGTAGGTTAGGCTGAGAGCTTGTGACTGGCCCAAGGCCACCCAGCAAGCTTCCATGGCAGAGTTGGGATTCACACCTGGATCTCCCAGATCCTAGTTCGCCACTCTAACCACTAATCATGCTGAATCTCGGTGTCAAATTGTCAAAGTGTCATGAAGCAGCTTCCAAATACTGGGTAGTTATGCTGAGTGGCTGGATAGTCATAGCCTTTATGTATTTGTCTTTTGATACTTCTGCATGTAAGTCGAAATTATAGGCATCCGTATTGTAAAACAGTAGAATTGTATGTGTTGGTATGATCAGGCCTAATCTGTGCTGTACGAGGAAGTGGCAGAGTGCTAGGGTGACAATATGGACCAGGGGTGTCAAACATGTGGTTCGGGGGCCAAATCAGGCCCCTGGAGGTCTTCTATCAGGCCCACAGTGGAACTGTCTCTTCTACTTCTTCCAGTTCTGCTGTGGCTGCGTCATCGTAGGTTTGCAGCTTACAGATATACGCCTGAACAGCATACTCAAGATTGCAACAGCACAGACATTTTGATGCAGTAATTCAGAGCAAGAGGTGTCGGTTATCAGACACTGTTAAATAAACAAAATATTGCAAGAGTGCTAATGTTTTAAGCATGTTTTTATTTTAAGTAAAAACCCTTTGTGTTTGTGTCCTTTATAAAGTATATCTCCCCTACCTGGCATTACATTTTATGGCACACGGGGCCAAGCCCAACAAAGTCTCATTTATGTCAGATCCGGCCCTCATAACAAATGAGTTTGACACCGCTAATATAGACAGTGCTACATCAGACTGCAGTCGAAGGGTACCATTCTACAGAGATCTGCTAAATTAACAATTTTCTTTAAGTGGAAAACTACTACAGCATGCCAAGGGGTAGGCTAGAAAATTCCTCCCTGGTAGGCTGTTTATTTGGGGAGCATTAGAAACCTGTCTTTCCGCCTACAGTCTAAGGTGGTACAGTCCATTATACCATCAGGGCTCTACCACTTTATCCTGTGACATGTTTAAACCAAACTTAGGCTGGCCTCCATTTTCTAAAGATGTGGGCTTAAGGAAAAAGAACGTCTGCAGACAGTAAGGTCTGCAGTGGTTCTGCTGCTTTGTAGAAATGTAATGCATCATATCATAACTGCACAGAAAACTGAAATTACTGTACAGGAAAATAAGGAGTAATAACGAGTGTTAGGTGTTAGCAATCAGTTTGTGGTTGTTTTAACATGTGAAGTAAAATATATGACTAGTAAAGGTAAAGGTTTCCCTTGCTCGAAAGCCAGTCGAATCCGACTCTAGGGTTGCGGTGCTCATCTCCGTTTCAAAGCCGAAGAGCCAGCGCTGTCTGAAGACGTTTCCAAGGTCATGTGGCCGGCATGACTAAACACCGAGGTGCACGGAACGCTGTTGCCTTCCCATTGAAGTGGTACCTATTTATCTACTTGCAATTTCTTGCTTTCGAACTGCTAGGTTGGCAGGAGCTGGGACCAGAGACGGGAGCTGACTCCGTCATGTGGCACACTCGGGTCTCGAACTGCTGAACTACCGGCCTTCCACAGCCAGGTTCAGCGTCTTAACCACTTGAGCCACCGCAGCTCCTAAAATACATGACTAGATTCCCTTTATTTTGCCATTTCCCAAAAGGCCTAATTCATTTTGGATGGTTGGACTGTCTCTAATTTGCTTGGTTAAATGGTGACAATCTTGTTTGTTTTTTTGCCCAGCCTAACATTTTGGCAGTGGTTTCCTCTCTCTCCCCTCCTAAAACCACACACACGTCTTGTGGGAAATCATGCACTGGTTAGACTCGTTTGCTCTCCACCCTGGCATGACACACAGTGCCCGTTGGCAGCACCGGTCGCAAGGCAGCAATAAATTCAGGAATTTTATCTCCCAGCACGCAAGAGCATTGGTTGGCAAATGGCAGCCCCCAGGCTGAGCCTGGCCTCCTGTGGGCTGGCACCCCAGTTCCCAGCTCTCCTCCTTAAACTGCTCCGGCAGTGTTGTCATTCGTGCCACTCCTCTGTCTCCAGGGCCATGCCTTGTTTGAGAAGACAGAAGGAAGTGGTGGCTGATGAAGGGGGAGGCACCATTCTCTTCCTTGTGCACCCCTCAGTCCAGAAAGTGACTCCAGGGCTAAGCCGGAAGATCATCTGAGAAGGGAGAGCTCTCTTCCCTTTGTCAGTTGCACAGGCTCCGGCAGTGTGTGCCCAAGGAAGACAGAGCTGCAGCTGGCATGCCACTGGCACGTCATAAGGTTGCCAACTCTGGGCTGGAAAATACCTGGAGACTTTGGAGGTGGATCTGGGAAAGGGCGGGGTTTGGGGAGGGGAGGGGCCTCAGCAGGATCCAATGCCACGGAGCCCACCCTCCAAAGCAGCCATTTCCTCCAGGGGAGCTGATCTCTGCCAGCTGGAGACTAGTTGTAAAAGCGGGAGATCCCCGGGCCCCACCAGGAGGCTGCACAAAACAAAAGGGATCCTAGCTTTGCACAGGAAAAACAACACACAAGCAAACCCTGTGATATGAACAACATTTATAAGATTTACATTGCTTTTCTAAAACTTTACAAAATTGCAACATTCGTCCAGCATTCTCACTTATACAATATTGTCAAAAAGTCCACATAGTCAAACATAATGAGTACCCGGTTGTGAACTCATTTCAACTTTACGGTCTTCCTCAGATGTAATCCTATATCTGTCTGTCTCTCCCCCCCCCTTCTCTCTCCCTCCCAGGCAGTTTTGTACTGGTGAATTCAGGTACGTTGATCTCACGCAAATCAAGCAAGTTGGAAAACTGGTGACACAAGGCTGAGTTCCAAAGGACACACATGAGAAGAGAACTTCAATTTTGCAGCGGCAGAACCCTCTGCCGAGGTGCCAAGGCCCTTCTCAAACCAAATAGTGGCTTCTCTCTTTGGCAGAGGGGAAACGCACACATGGGACGGGGTGGTGTTGCCCTCCCCCTGGGAATGAAGCCGGAAGGGCCCAAACGAAGCCTAACACACTGAGCTTACTCCAGAGTGGTTCAGACTAGCCAGATTGCTTGGCAGTGACATGTTCAGGTCTCGAGGGCCAGAAACGTAATAAGAATCCCCGTTTGGATGTCTGTAACGTTTCCATGGAGTGCACCAAGGCCGTGAAAGCGGCAGCGAGTCTTGCGCCCCTTAAGGACTAAGTGCATTTGCTTTTGCGGACCAGAACCATGAAGTGTTACCCTTTGTCGGCACACTTGGGGTGTTTGCGTTGTCGAGCCATCACTGGTTGGGCGTGGATCACGCCTGCTCTGGCTAGACCTTTTGTTCTTTGGACCAGATTGTGTTTTCATTCCTAATCTCAGGTGCCCTTCTCTTGGACCACAGGCCCTTCTGGTTTCTTTTAAAAAAACAACAACCACAACTTTCTTCTTTTTGTGCCTGAGTAGAGAGAGTGATCCATCAGCTGAAAATAGTTCTGTCCGTCAGAGGAAATGGCTTCTGGTCCACAGAAGCTTCTGCCACAGGCAGTCTTTACGATGCCACAAGCCTCCTTTTTGTTCCAGCTGCAGCAGACTAGCATGGCAATATTGCACTGATCTCTCTCTCCCTCTGTGTCATTGTCTCCCTGCCCCTGCCGTGGAGCAGTGCTCCCTCTAAGCTGTGGAGTCTTGTGAGCAAAAATCTTACTTTGTGAGCTACTGGCATTAAAATTGTGAGCGAGCGATTTAGCTCCTGCATAAATTAGTTTGCTCTGGAGCCCTCCTTCCTGAGCCGAGACAAAAATGTGTGAGCTGGTGGCTAAAAAACATTTGAGCTAGCTCACACTAACTCAGCTTAGAGGGAACGCTGCCCTGGAGCTCATTTCTTCCACCTGAGCTCTCGGGGGGTTATCAAAACTTGGGCTGGTAAGCCTCCTGTGTATGACTAAAAGACCTATTGTGGGTGAGTTGCAGAATTTAAGACTGGGAATAGAAACTTCCGAGGAAGCAAGAAAGCCATGAGGAATTAGGGGCTTTGCCCATTTTCCTCTGCCCTGAAAATCAGGACGGGTTTGGGGACAACATAACATTCCTTGGAGTGGCTAAGAAGCCCCCGCTCTCAGCCCAGTGAAGGCCAACCCCAGCTAGGGCTGGAAGGGAGAGGACTCCACATCTCTCTCGGCACTTTCTGGCACATCCGTTTTCGAGGCCTGGCTCCCTCGTGGAGGTTCAGTAGCCACAAGAACACTGCTTCTGTTTCTTCTTCTGGTGGGCCAATCCAGACCCAGGAGCACCTGATCCACTTTGCTCTGTTAGTGTAAGGAGAGACCCCTGGAGTTTGGAGGTGGGTGGCTCCCCGCATGCCGAACCCCCGTGTGCTGGTTCCTGCACTCTCAAGTTTGCATCCGTTCCCAGCGTCTCTTTCTCTGTGTTCCAGGAAGGATGGCGTTCCCATCGGTTACAAAGGCAGCACTTTCCACAGGTACTCTTTCTTTGGATTTCAACTTAAAGCCACTTCTTGGGCCTGTAACTTCCCTTTAAGCCAGCGGTACAGGATAGACAAGTCAGCGGAGGGGAACAGTGTTCTCGAGGCGTGACTGTGTATGGTCAGGGACAGCTGTCCTGCTGCTCAGCAGAGAAGGTCCCCTCTGTCTCTTGGCTTAAACGGGACAAAGAGTGTTACCGTGAACTTCAGCATTTGAGCTGCAGAAGCAGAGTCTTCAGGATGGGAGTTAAGGGCAGCCCCTTTTTTTTGAGCTGGCACAGGTTTCTTCCACTAGTGAGAGCCGGGACACAGTGGCGTTTTCCCAGTTCAAAACCGGAGGCAGGCTTTATGCTCCAAAAGAGAGAAACAGAAAGAGAGAGGCTTCAATCCTGCCCCTCAAGCAAGGGCCGGGTATCCTTATTTCGGCCGTGAGTGTAACCCAGGGAATAATTTTTCTCTTTTCCATGACCCACTGAGGGATGGGACTGCTTTGTGGGCCACTGGGATTCCCTTGCGCCTGCCCTTGTGACGTCAGGGAGTCTCTTGGGGTGATGTCACTACTCATCCATTGGATGGGGATGAGGAATCAGTATGGCGTGGTGCAATTCTCTGTCAGGCCTCAAGCGACAGGTGCCACCAATCTGGTGGGCCTAATTTTTCAAAATACACTCCAACCTCTCTTGCAGCACTCAGCTCTCTGGCCAAGTGGCAGACCAGGCAGATTCACGAGCAAATGGCATGCTTGCCTTGTGCCCGTTCAGGGGCAAGGAGGTTGTGTGTCTGGTTTCCCGGGGTGCTGGTTGTTATGCCACAGGGCCTACAGAGCCAGCGAAGGAAGCTTTGCCGTATGACCGGCTACAGGGCCACTGAAGGACAGGCAATCCATTGGCGAGCTTCCCGACCTTCCAAAGACGGGAACTGTTCCATGCCTACGTTACCCCAGCAGTCTTCAGCTGGTAGGCTGGGACCAAACCGAGTCATGGACCAGACCTAAGCTACAGCTCCCTTTTATTTTAATAAACATAAAAGAGAGGACTGATGTAGAGAGACCTGGGGAGAGAGAAATGAAAAGTGGGGTGCGTTGTTAGCAGTTAGGATTAAAGATGGGTCCCAGATCTACATAACAGCATTTTCAAGGTTCTCAATCCCCCCTCCCCCCTTTTTTTTCCTTTTAAGGGTTATAAAAGATTTCATGATCCAAGGAGGCGACTTCGTAAACGTAGGTAGTCACTTTTCATTCTTCTTTGCCGCGTTTGAAGGCGACAGAGGTTCGGTGCTTGTTCCTGGAACCTCTGTAGTTTTCTCCCTTCTCCTCCAGCTCTTGCTGACCAGATGTGCCAAGGTGGGCACAGCTAGGTCCTCTGCCTGTAGGAAGCTGCAGAAGGTTCTGTTCTCTCCCCTTTACAAAACTGGGTAGCCGTACCAGAATCTGCTAAACTCTTTTTTTCTCAGTGCCCAAGTGGGCAAACCGCAGAGTTATGCAGAAACCTTAGTTAAGGTAGAAGATGGTCATTAATTTTTTTAAAAAAATATATAAATTGTTTAAGGCCAAAACAGTTAAAAAAATAACAATGCCCGTTTCCGTCATTACACCAGGTACCCAGATGGTTTTAATCTCGTATCACAACAAACCAGCCATTCTAACAAGCCAAAATACCTTTCCTCATCATCTGTAGATCCTCAGGTGTTCAATAACCTACTCCAGTTTCTACCTGAAGTTATTGATGTCTGAATGCATCTCCCTTTTGAAGGATATGTACGTGTGGTAGCTTTTAATAGCTAATGATCTATTGGGTTGTTGTTGTTTTTAGGGGAAAAAACCCTATGAGTTGAAATGGGAATCACCCTCAGTAACAAATAATTAGATTTTGTGTCCTGACGCAGACTTCAGTGTGACTCAAGCTGTTTGTTTATTTATTTATTTAAATTTATAACCCGCCCTCCCCACGAACGGGCTCAGGGCGGCGTACAGATGGGGCCAATGCCCAATACATAAAACATTAAAACTGCATTTTAAAAACATTCAGTGCAACATAAGTGCTCTCCACAACAACTAACAAGGGAAACAATGACGTCATCAGGATGGTATCCTTAGTAGCCCCAGCTCCACGCAGTACCACCATTTTTGCGCTCACGGCGAGTTGGTAATAAGGGCTAGGACAGATAGTAATAGTCGTAGACAGATGGTAACAGTCGTGGCGGCTCCTACTCAAACGCCTGGCGGAAGAGCTCCGTCTTGCAGGCCCTGCGGAACTGCGCAAGGTCCGGCAGGGCCCGAATCTCCTCTGGGAGCTCATTCCACCAGGTAGGAGCCGCCACCTGTTCTTGAGTGGTCTGAAAAGGCTGGGCAGTGGTATATTCCACAGAGCAGGAAGGAGGAGCGGGGGTCCTGCTGACCTGAGGCGTCCCCACCCAGGCCTGAAAGTGGAGGTTTTCGAACTGTGCGCTCCAGTGAGAAGCTCGGCAACAGCCAGGGCTTATCAGCCTCACGAGGCAGGCGCCGTGCCGTGCCCTCTCACAAGGTGCCCTGTTCTTGTTTGCTCAGCGTGGGACCTTTTCTCTTTCCTTAAGTCCATTCCCAGAACTAAACAACAAGAATAGCCGCAAAGGCAGCCTTGCCAAAACTCTTGCAGCACACAGCTGGAAGGAACGTAGGTTCTCAGGACGCACAGGTCACGAGGTGGCCCGCTAGACTGTGCCAACCCACCACGGGATGTGCCTGGGAACCCCCAAAGGCATCCCGGAATGCTTTGCAGTGTGCAGGGCTGGCACAGACAGCCATAGGGAGAGTGTCCCTGGAACGGAGAAAGCTTGAAAAGTACCACCCAGCTTGGAGAGCCTAGCATGGGGGAAGGCCAGGACAAGCTGCAGACGTCCTCTTAATCTTGCCTGCAGTACAAATATATATACATTTTTAAAGCTTCTGGAACAATCTGCAGGTGATGCAAAAGAGACTAGGGCTTTATCAGCCTCGTGACACCGATGCCATGTGTGCTTTCTCACGAGGTTCCCTTCACTTGTTTGTTCAATGCGTGACCTTTTCTCTTTCCATAAGTGAAGTCCGCTCCCAAAACTGAACAACAGCTCCTTAACCCCCTTTGGATTTTTGATCAGTTTCATGCCCTTAACAGGTTTGCCCTCTCAAGGGCAATCGTCCTCTCCTGCCTTCCAGCCCAATGACCTATGTCACAGGCAATGTTCCCTCTAAGCTGTGAAGTCTTGTGAGCAAAAATTCAACTTTGTGAGCTACTGGCATTAAAGTTGTGAGCGAGCGATTTGGTTACTGCATAAATCAGTTTGCTTTGGAGCCATCCTTTCTGAGCTAAGACAAAAATGTGTGAGCCGGAGGCTAAAAAACTGTGAGCTAGCTCACACTAACTCAGCTTAGAGGGAACATTGGTCACAGGTTCTGCCTGAAACGACAAAACCTTCCTTTGCTTGGCTGATCTGACTGGGTTTTTCTTATTCTGGGCAGAACTGGGCTGCTTTAGATCCTTTACTCCCTAGTCAGAAACTAGCAAGGTGATGTATATGCATTCTGCAAAGGCATAATAGTGTGGCATAAGGGGCACATTCAGGTGCTTCAGAATCTCAGCTAGTCTAGTTCTTATGGCTGACAAGTTAAGCTTGAAAGTACGCGAGCAGCCCCTGGTGAAACAATCTCCGAGAAGATAGGGTGTCTGAAAACTTTTGCAACCCTCCTTGTCCCTAAGGGGAGGGGCCACAGCTCAGTGGGTTAGCATCTGCTCGGCATGCAAAAGGTCCCAGGTTCAATCCTCGGCATCTCCAGTTAAAGAAGACCAGGCAGTAAGCGATGTGAAAGACCTCAGCCTGAGACCCTGGAGAGCTGCTGCCAGTCTGACTGCGATCGACCAAGGGTCTGATTTCAGTAGAAGGCAGGTTCATGTGTCCCTCTCCCATGGATACCTAAAGCAGAATAAATTAAAGAAGTCATAAATATGTACAAGTCATAGGATGTAGATTGTCTGGGCACAGCATTTAAACTTTATGAAAAAGTTTATTACAGTTGGAATCTAGTTTTATGACAGGGCTTAGGCAAAGGTTTTCATTTTTTAAAAAATGACTCTCCTCCCACCTGTAGAACCAAAGTCCAGGGTTCTACTATTTTGTTCTGCCTAAAGTGTGGAACGTCTTTGAGTGTATAGATTGAGTGCTTGGGCCGACTCCCATGATAAGGTCGTGGAAAGGGAGCCAACCCAGTAATCTTTTCAGGCCATCTTTAGGAAAGGAGCATTGTCCTGTTGAATCTGAAGAGGGAAGAAAGCACTGCCGTTCATAAGAACATTAGAAGAGCTCTGCCAGATCAGACCAGTGGTCTATTTAGCCCCGTATCCTGTCTCACACAGTGGTCAACCAGTTCCTCTGGAGGTCCAACAACAGGAAACAGAGGCGGAGGCCTTCCCCTTATGTTGCCTCCTGGCACTGGGATTCAGAGGCTGACTACCCCTGAATGTGGAAGTTCCCTTTAGTCACCGAGGCCACAGATAGAATTATCCTCCATGAATCTATCTAATCTCCTTTAAAAGCAGTCTATTCCTGTGGCCATCACTACATCCTCTGGCAGCGAATTCCTCATTTTAAACACTCTGTATAAAGTAGTATTCCCTTTTCTCCATCCTCAATCCACTGCCCATCAGCATCGTTGAATGTCCTTGAGATCTAGCGTTTGGGGAGATAAAAATTTCTCTGCGTCCACTCTCTCCACCCCATGCATAATTTTATAAACCTCTATCATGTCCCCTCTAGACTGAAAAGTCCCAGACCCTTCAGCATTTCCTCATAGAGAAGGTGCTCCAACCCCCTCATCATCTGGGTTGCCCTCTTCTGTATTTTCCCCAGCTCTGCAATGTTGTTTTTGAGATACAGTGACCAGAACTGTACACTAGTATTCCAAGCGAGGCCACACCATACATCTATGCGGGCACTGTGATATTGGCTGGTTCATTTTCAGTCCCTGCCCTAATCATCCCAACATAGAATTTGCTTTCTTGGGAACCTGTGCTCAGGAAGGTGGAATTGAATACCTGCCCCCTTCTTCAAACAGGGAGATGGGACTGGAGTGGCCAGTATATACCGGGGTCCCTTTGCTGATGAGAACTTCAAGCTAAAACACTCGGCGCCTGGCCTGTTGTCTATGGTAAGTCCCAAGGCGAACAGGATTGGCTCTGAGCTCCCCACCCTGGCTTAACATGGGATGGCTTTTTTTCAGGGATAGGATAACGGCAAGGTGGGTGAGCTGTACCACGTGACTTAAAAAAGAGAAGGAACGTCAGTGGTAGGTTGGCGTCCTCAACTGGACTTGTGTACTGGAAAAGCCCACACGTGGAGCTGCGGTGTAGGGCCAAGGAGTTCAAGGTTCGAATCCCCACTCATGCTCGAGAGCCAGTGGGGAAATTGTATGTACACTTCCCCAAGGACTACCTGCTGAGCTTTTTGGAGGAAACGTGGGATTCGGGTGTTACAAATGCATTTTCCTGTGGCCGGGAGACTTCCAGTAATAAGCTCTTGAAGGATCCGTAGCAGTCTTAGCACGAACACAGCTTAGGTTAATGAAAGATCACAGGGAGGGCTTAGAAATCACTCCACTGTGTGGAGCCGGCTGCAGGAAATCAGACAGAGGGGCTTTGAGCGAGCGAGGAGATGGTAGAGCACTCCAGTGGAGAAAACAAAGTCATAATCCTTCAGCTCGGTGAGATAATTTGTTGGCCAGACTTCATCCTCGGCTAGGCTCGGAAGCAATCACTCGGAACTTAAGCTTCTGAACGAGGAGGCACTTGATTAAATTTGGTCTCGGGGTGCAGATGGCGCTGCCTTTGGGCTGGTCTTGGCCTCGTTTGGGCTGACTTAAGACAGGTTCCGGTAATCTCTTCTGGCCCACGAGAGCAAGCACGCCTATGCGGAACTGCAGAAAGTGAATCTGTGAATTGCCCTGCCTGAAATTGCTCCATTCAGAATCCCTTTCTGTATCTTTCCTGCCCTCTCTAAGCTCCAGTTACTCAGGATTTGTGGCAGAGTTTCAGATGTCTAGAGAGCCAGCGTGGTGTGTTGAATGAGCGTTGGAGCAGGATCGGGGCAGACCCAGGTTCGAATCCCCACTCTGCCATGAAAGCTCGCTGCGTGACCCTGGGCCAGTCGCACTCTCTCAGCCTAGCCTACCTCACAGGCAGGGCTATTTTTGAGCAGGAACGCACAGGAACGGAGTTCCGGCTGGCTTCAGAGTTGGCCACGCCCACTACAGCCAAAACCTCCGCATGCATGGCTACAGAGGGAAGGCCTAGAGAGTGACCCCTCCCCCCAGGGAATCCGAGGTGGGCGGGCCAGGGGGCCCCCTGGAAGGATTGGGGAGGCATTTAAATGCCTCCCCGTGCCTTCCCCAGCCTGTCCAAGGGCCGGCTTGCCCGGGCAAGCCAAGAGAAGGCATGGGGGTGTGGCCTAATATGCAAATGAGCTGTGCTGTCAGGGGTCTGACCCAATATGCTAATGAGTTTCTGCTGTTGGGTGTGGCCTATTATGCTAATGAGTTCCTGCTGGGCTTTTTCTACCAAAAAAGCCCTGCTCACAGGGATGTTACGAGCATTAAATGGAGGAGAGGAGAACAATGTAAGCCGCTGTGGGTCCCCTGTTGGGGAGAAAGACGGCATTAAATAAATACATTTGCATTGTTGGCAGGTGCCCAAGAGCCACCTTTGCGAACTCTGTTTCTGCATCCCTGTCTCCAACGCGTTTCTGTCCTGCCCTTCCTCCACGCAGCCCAGGGCTGCATACACAGTTCCCTCCATCTTTGCTTCCCCCCCCCCCCCGTGAGGTTGCTTAGGCAGGGAGAGAGTGACTGGCCGGGGGAGATTAGCGGCAAAGCCCGCCCTCTGCAGTTTCCTTTTGCTGTGTCTCCCCCCCCCCAATTGTGACAGCTTGAGATTGGAAGCATGAGGCTCTCAGGCCAAGAGCTGGTTGCCCTCCCCTGATTTTTGTGTGCACTTCCCGCTAGGCGAACAGTGGCCCAAGCACCAACGGCTGCCAGTTCTTCATCACGTGCTCCAAGTGCGACTGGCTGGACGGGAAGCACGTCGTCTTCGGTGAGTGGGCATCTCTCGGGCTCAGGCCGTGGATGGAGAGAGCGGCTTTTGCTGTGCCAGGAGAGAGTTCAGACTTTTTTGCACTTGGAACAGTACCCCCCCCCCCAACATATCACAACCTACTTTTGAAAAATCCCATGGTTGCACAAGGCCCTTGCCCTGGGGTGGGGGGAGGCTATAAAGCTCTGGATAAACATCTAGAATGAGTTACGTGTTCTTTTAGAGAGCAGAGTTGTCTCCAGATTTGCTTCAATTGCTTGTGTTTCTTTTGTTATGTTTCATAAATTTCATCATTTGCCCCAGTGTGATAACTTATTAAAACAGCATGGGAGGAAAAGTGATTTACGCTGCAGAATCTAGCAAAGGTATTCAGGTTCTGTCTGTTTCCTTTAATGGGCATGGAATGAACTTGAAACATCCAGACCTTTTCCCGTGCTTTCTTTTTTCACTCACTGGTGTATCTGTTAACAACAGTTTGCACATGCAGGTCTAGCAGCTATTTTGATACCCGTTCTTTTTCTTCAGAATGCATAGTCGGTAGTACCCACCATAAGTCAGGCAGTCTCTCTCTTTCTCTCAGGAGGGTCGGCATTGTGCTTTTAATGGGTGTGGAGTTTCAGCATAGGCTTTAATTAGCTGTAAATCCCCCCCCCCCAAGGCCTACGGATGTAATTTTTCAAATGTGCTTTGATCAAAATATTTTCTTATCAACATAACTGTTCCAAGATTCTATGTGGGTGGCATGTATGTTTAATTAAGTGAACCAAACATTCATCCTTTAAATGCTGGAAGGCTTAAAATGGAGAGATTCGTCTTTCCCCATGAAGGCTTGTCCTCTAGCAAATAGGTATTGGGTGAAGATAAAAAAATTATAATGGAAATGTGTTCCTTATGACCACACCCTATCAAGCAAATATGACTAGGTTTTGAACCGAAAAATGTTCAACAAATGATTTTCAAGGCAGCTTTATGTGGCTGTACATCAACCTCTCATAAGTGATTTGTTTTTTTTAATGGTGTGAGCAGCGGTTATCTCTGAAACGGAACAAGTCCAAAAGGATGACAGATAGTGATTCTCTCGACTTTACTTGCTCCTGTTCAAGCAGAGGAGGGCAGTTGCCGTGTTTGTGGATCACTGATATGGTCCCATGAAGGAGCAACTGCAACCGTATGTGGTCCTCAGCCTCACAGCACAAGCAGAAGTTGTTCAGGTACACTGAGGCCGAGAACCATCTTCAGTGCCCTCTTTGAGAGGGATTCCAGAATCCTTTGGAATCCAGGGTGGATTCTGGTGAACATAACATTCATGGTAGGTTTCTAGAGGAGATCTTTCAGCGTTGGTTTCAGGAAATGTTTGGACTCCCCCAGACCCCCAGCTCTTGGCGAGATTGGCCATTTCATGCGCCACGTTAAGCAGGGGAGGGCAGTTGCCACCGTGTTTGTGGATCACTGATATGGTCCCATGAAGGAGCAACCGTATGTGGTCCTCAGCCTCACAGCACAAGCAGAAGTTGTCCAGGTACACTGAGGCCGAGAACCATCTTCAGTGCCCTCTTTGAGAGGGATTCCAGAATCCTTTGGAATCCAGGGTGGATTCTGGTGAACATAACATTCATGGTAGGTTTCTAGAGGAGATCTTTCAGCGTTGGTTTCAGGAAATGTTTGGACTCCCCCAGACCCCCAGCTCTTGGCGAGATTGGCCATTTCATGCGCCACGTCTCCCCGCCCTCTTGCATGTGGCCATTTGACTTTTAATTTTGTTGCAAGCCTCTTCCTGACACAGTGAAATCTTTCTCCTTGTTTTTTTAACCTGGCAGGTAAAATAATCGACGGGCTGCTCGTCATGAGAAAAATTGAAGTAAGTATTTGAGTTTGGTGCTGCACACTTGTGTTGAGTCCACAGAAGGTGCACGTCAGGTGTGTACAATGCGGAGCTGGCATCCTGGAAACATGTCACTTTCTGAAGCATGTTTCTAACCCTCACTGAGGTAGAGGGAAAATATGGAAATGTGTACACGTTGGCTGGTGAAGAATTGGAAACCTGCTGGGAGGGGCTAAGAAACAGCTCTGTTCCCCCATCTTCTGCTGCTTTGGGGGCTATTCTGGGTATCTAATCCTGATCCCTAAATAAATTCAAAGTTTCTGGAAGCTTGACCCTGGAAACAGTGAGTTATGCAGATCAGTGATATAGGCCAAAGGCTGCGCCAGATCTCTCTGAAGGGGGCCGGTTGAGCCCTTCCGAAGATGGTTTCTGTATTCTTAAGTGCCAGTCTTCTCCCAGTTGTGGTCTGGAAGTGTATTTTGTTACACAAATGGGGCCTCCTTGTGGACGGCCAAGGCTCTCATAAAATTGGTGCCACTAGCCAGAAGACAGCCAGTGTGGTTTAGTGCTTAGCGTGTCAGACTAGGTTCTAGGAGACCCGGGTTGGAATCCCCACAGTGCCATAGAAGTCACTTTGAGCCAGTCATTCTCTCTCAGCCTAACCTACCTCACAGGGTTGTTGAGATTAACAATGGATGATGTACACTGCTTTGGATCCACATTGCAGGAGGAAAGCAGGGTTATAAATATATCGAACAGAAGTGAGAACATCTCAGTTACGGAGCACCTGCAATTCAGCAAGGGGGCCCTGACAGGCCACAGTTTCCAGTTTAGGGACTGCGGCCTGTCCTTAACAGAGAGACCATAGCATCGTGACAGAGGGAATGCTTTGCACGCAGGAGGTTCCAGCTTCAGTCCTCGGCTTCTCCCATTCAAAGGATCCCTGGTAGCGGAGACGGGGAAAGGCCACCCTCTGCTGAAGACCCCGGAGAGCCACTGTCTGCCAAAGTGGCCAGAGTTGGGCCACATGGATAACAGACTGACGTGGTATAAGGCATCTTTAATCATACAACTTGCAGATGAAGAGCTCTGCTAGGACCAGACTAACTTGACCTTTTTTCCCCACCTCCCAGAATGTGCCCACTGGTCCAAACAACAAACCCAAGCTGCCTGTGGTGATTGCTCAGTGTGGTGAGATGTAGGCAGTGGACTGTCAGGTATGCGCCGCCACACACCTTCATCCTCCTACGTGGCTAATGCAGCAGCAGCCTGAGGAGGTGGGGGGAGGCTCTTCTGCTTGTGGGAGGGAAGGATGCAAAATGGGGGTGGGAATGTGGGGCTGGGTGGGATGGCTTACATGAATAGGGTGCGCAGGGCTCTGTGTATATTGGCGCTCCAATGAAGAGCAGAGCCAGGTGCAGACTTCAGCTTCCTTAGATTCAGCATGTTCTAAGAAGCAAGCTTCTAGCCCCTATGGGGGAACATCATGTCAGCAACACCCTACCTGGCCAAGTCTGAAAGCCAGATGAGTTGCCAAACAAGTTTTCCAGCGGTCAGCAGGTGGGAATTCAGTGTTCTCAGTAGCTCTTTGCTCCTTGCAGGTGGCAGAAAAAGTATTTATGAACATTACTTTGTATGGCAGAAAATATTATACAGCTATGCATGAATTGTGCAGATTGCTGAATTCGACTAGGTTGTTGCATGGGGTTACCATAGCACTAAATCCCCTTCATAGAAGAAAATTATATACAGACTAGGCACAACCCTTCTGCAGTGATAACTCACAAGGAGCCACTGGTGTAGCCAGTTTGGTGTAGTGGTTAAGTGCGCGGACTCTAATCTGGGAGAACCGGGTTTGATTCCCCACGCCTCCACTTGCAGCTGCTGGATGACCTTGGGCAAGCCATAGTTCTGACAGAGGTGTTCTTGAAACAGCAGTTTCTGTCAGAGCTCTCTCAGCCCCACCTACCTCACAGGGTGTCTGTTGTGGGGAAGGGGAAGGGAAAGGAGTTTGTAAGTCAGACTCCTTTGGGTAGTGAAGGGCGGGGGTATGAATCCAATCTTCTCCTCCTCTTCTTCTACACAAGAGAATGAGCAGCAGGTGAACTGAATGAATACCCAGTTACATACTCACTTGTTTTCTTGACTGCTGATCCCTGGAGATCTAGCCAGGATCCAGAAGCTCATTGGCACATGATAGGCGGGGGCAGCACTGGATACGTTCCAGGTGGCTTCAGCGGTTTTATGGCTGATTCTCTCCTTTTCCTGCTTCCAGGAGGGTTTCCCCTTTCAACTCGGACCGCCAGAACCTCTCAGTCGCTCCTTCCCTGCCTTCCCTTTGTGCCTCATCCACCCTGCATTCCACACTTCCGCTTCCAGGAGGGTTTCCCCTTTCAACTCTGACCGCCAGAATCTCTCAGTCGCTCCTTCCCCGCCTCCGTTCGTGCCTCATCCACCCTGCATTCCACACTTCTGTTGTTTTTTTGCCATTGTAAATAAAAAGGGTTTTTATTTAAGCGCCTCTCATTCCAGCAGCACGCGCTTGCCATCGGCTGCGGAAGCCTTTTTTTCCTGGGCCACCGTTTGGTCTCAGCAGCAGAGTCCAGCCACAGAAATCCCTTCCATGCCAGTCCATGTGGTCTGCAGGGCTGCAAAAGAAATGCGTGGGGGAAATGCGTGACCTGATTAGCTGAATGGATATCGGAAGCAGCTTTTCTTTTGCCATGAGGGTGGGTGCTTTGGCATATGGACACCGCCTCCCTGAAAGGAGAGAGATGGTAGGACAGGCACTGTGACGCCAGGTGGGTCGAGAATAAAACGGTAGCACAGGCTGAGGAAATGCGACATCTGCACAGCAGAGCAAAATGATCACCTGGTCTGTCATTCATCCTGAAGACTGCACTGTAGCCTCATCAGAGGTGATTCTTGCTTGCCGTAAGCGCATACCCTTGAGTCTTTTCAGAAGCCCGCACCCCAGAGTATGGCCATGCTGCAAAGGCCAAGTCAAACCAGCCTGCCTGAAAAACACTGCTGCTTGCCACTCTGAACTGAGGTGAAATCAATCCTTGACCCCTAAACAGGACGATCGGGAAGGGCTATGTGTTGAGTTTCAGGTGCATTCCTCACCCCTGCTCTCCCCAGTCGTGAGCTGTCTGCCATCCCAAATCCTCTCTCAAAATGTGGTCCTCATTGTGGCTGTAGAGGAAGGCGTGAAGCCTCCATTGCTTAGCAGCAGTGTGGAGAAAAGTTTCAGTGTGGGACCGAGGATGACTGGACTCCTTGCAACTGTATGTTAACAAAGGGGGTGGGAAGGAAAGAGATGCCCCTTTCACACCTTAACTTTTAGCAGTGGTCCCCTTAAGACTTTGGTAGACTTAAGGTGCTTTCTCTCACACACACACACTCTCTCTCTCTGATAATGCATGTTGCAACTGGATTTTACTGTGTGAAATGGCACATTCATTTGCAAAGTATTGCTAAAGTGCATCGAAAGTGCATTATTCATCGTGCGCGAAAGTGCTCTTATTAGATCCATCTTTTTCTTTTCCATCCACCACAGACAAGAACCAGCTCCACCAGGCCAAGTAGCCCCAATCCAGGCGGCCGGTGCCAGACAACTAAATTAAAGCAGGGCTCACATCCCAGTTATGGACTGCGGGGTGCTTTGCCCGCAGCCATCTGCTTTGGCTAGAAAGGTAGCACTCCGTGCTCTAGAAACTAGACATTGTGCATTGATTTGCTGAATCGTTACAACTGTTGTGGCACAATGGAGGCTGCATCGTGCGTGAAAGTGCTCTTATTAGTTCCATCTTTTTCTTTTCCATCCACCATAGACAAGAACCAGCTCCACCGGGCCAAGTAGCCCCAATCCAGGCGGCCGGTGCCAGACAACTGAATTAAAGCAGGGCTCACATCCCAGTTATGGACTGCAGGGTGCTTTGCCCGCAGCCATCTGCTTTGCCTGCAGTTCAGCATCTTAACCACTTGAGCCACCGCAGCTCCATGAGGCCTTGATACAAGACCTAAATTTAGAGAGGAAGGGAGAGGGAGGACATAGGTTAGCCTCCTGGAACAAGTAAATGCGGCTTCATTTACATGGAGTGGTTTCAGTTGGGAGAAAAACGGAACCTCGGATCCAAAGGTTCCGTGGAAAAGGCGGGCTTGGAGGGGGGAAGGGGGTGCCGTGTACATCAAGAGAAAACAGAAGCCCAGCTGGATCAGCCCAAGGGCTGCCACCCTCCAGGTGGCACCTGGAGACCTCCTGCTATTACAATTGATCTCCAGTATACACAGATAGGTTCCTCTGGAGAAAATGGCTGCTTTGGAGGGTGGACTCTGAGGCATCAGACCCTGCTGAAGTCCCTCCCCTTCCCAAACCCTGCCTTTCCCAGGCTCCACCCCCCAAATCTCCAGGTATTTCCAATACGGAGCTGGCGACCCTAATTCAGCCCTGAGTTTTATCTAGCCCAGAGTCCTCTTTCTCACAATGGCTGACCAGAAGTTTTCCAGGAAGCCCCAACAAGCAATTCCATTTAGCAGTCGCCAGTCATTCCTGGTACTAGGGGGGACGTTCCAGGCACGAGGGGCTGCAAGAGAGAAGGGACAGCGGATGAAGCAAGCAGAACTTCAGGATGGGGTGGGGGGCAGAGTTGCACCATTCTGGACTCCTTGATTTGAATGGCTGTGGTGGTGGAGGAAAAGCACAATTCTCCTTAGGATGGCATGGTTAGTGGGGCGAACATCTCAGGGCAGCAAAAAGGCCAGGGAAGGCATGAAAGAGGAGGAGCTTGTAGAAGGGATGGGTAGGGTGGAGATTCAAGGCGTGTTGCACGGGATGAGACAAAACGAGTATAATTAATTCACCGGGATTTCCCTCTAAACTTGCGCAAGATGGGCCCCAGGGCGGCTACTAGAACAGGAAAGCTCTTTTTTTTTTTTTTGGCAGAGCTTCCTGTTTATATACAGTAAATAAATAGCCCATTGTGCTTCAGGATTGTTAATAAAGTTTGATAGAAGACTAAGCTTTGGGAATTTAAACCCTGCTTCTGCCCAGCTTTCTTAAATAGCTCATTCATGCGACCCACCCCTTAGGAACAGAAAGCAAAGACTGTCAATTACTGTATATAATAGCAAGTGGCCCAGGAGAGTGTATATGCGGACACACATTTCTTGGGCGGAAGGCGGTGTGGCACCCTAAATCAGAGAGATCTGGGCTCCAATCCCTGCCTCCCCCCAAAGGTTGACAGGGTGTTCCTGAGCCTGTTGCCATCTTGCAGCAAAGCCACCTGTGCATCACCCTGAATTCCTTGGTGATGCAGATCAGTAATAGTTTGGATTGTGCCTTTGTCCAGATACGCCTGATGTATAGGTTTTCAAGAAATAGCCTTAGGGGTGGAAATCTAGAGGAGGGGCTGTAGTGACGGCACATACTAGACTAACAGAAACAGCCCAGGTTCAGTCCAGGTAGGGTTGCCACCCTCCAGGTGGTGGCTGGAAATCTGGGATTACAACTGATCTCCAGGTGATAGAGATCAATTTATCTGGAGAAAATAGCCACTTCGGAAGGTGGACTCCATGGCATTCTACCCTGCTTGCAGTCCCTCCACTCCCCAAACTCCGACCTCCTCAGGCTCCACACCCCTAATCTCCAGGTATTTCCTAACTCAAAGCTGGCAGCCTCACATTGCCAACTCTGGGATGGGAAATTCCTGGAGATCTAGGGGTGGAGTGGGGTTTTTTGGGGGGATGGCAGGGTTTGGGGAGGGATCTCGTTGGAGTATAATGCCACAGATCCCATTCTCCAAAGCAGCCATTTTCTTCAAGGGAACTGTTATCTGGAAATCCGTTGTAATTCTGGGAGATCTCCAGGACCCACCTGGAGGCAGGAAACCGTATATACCCCATGAAGCGTATCAGGTGTTGGGAACGACGCTTTAGACCCTGAAGCGGCTCTGACTGCCATAAACATAGAGAGGTGATGTGTCAGGGTTTGGTACAGCCCTTGCTCGAATGCAGGTTTAATTCCTGCCTCGTCCAGTTGTAGGTATCGGAGTTAGGGAAAGTCCCCCGGAGAGTCCCTACCCATTAAAACAATACTGGCAAAGAGAGATCAACAGTCTGACGGGTTGAGAGATCACTTCACACGTTGCCCATATAATTCAGACCGACAAGAGCCGTGGAAGCGGACGAGACGTGCCCAATAAATCCAGGAATTACTGTATTTGGGCTTGCTAAAAGGAAGTCCCGTTGTCGAATGAATGGAACCCGTTCGCTCCCTTCAACCGCAGCCGCAACGGCCGTGCGAAGCGGAGTCATTACAAAGCCACACAGCAGAATGTGCTGAACTCGAGCCATCTTTGTCTGCCGGTGAGATTAACAGCAATTCATGGACTCAGAGCAATGGAAAGGGCAGCAGGCCCGGGTACCAGGGAAGAGGAGCGCTTAGCGGGGCAGAGCCAGGGCTGCTCAAGGAAGTCCCTGGCGTGCCTCGGCTTGGCCTCCTTCGGCCACATGGTCCCCATCTATGGTCAGAAGAAATGGCATTTCCTGGCTGGGTCTTCTCTCGGGGGGGCGGGGACAAAGCGGGGCTCTCGGCCAATCAAGACCCAAATGCGAGCAGCCCCGGAGGCAGCGCCAGGCGAGCGGAGCCTGAGCGATAGATAGCGAAGCCTTTAAGGGGGGGGAAAGAGAGGCGGGGACAGAGGGTGGGAGCAATCGGAAACTGGCCAACAGCTTCGCGAGGATTCTGACGGGCAGGAGGGCCGATCCAACCGGGAGCGGCAGATCCTGGCGGCGCGCGGCTCAGAGCCTATGGAGTGCGGGGTGGCTAGCCAGTGCGCGCCGCCATTGTGGCCAGTTCGATCGGTATCGGGAGCGGAGAGCGGAGCCCAGCGAGCCCGGAGTAAGGGAGCAGCCCCCCCCGCCAACGGCCGGCCCCCGAGTCACCATCAACACCGCGCGGGAGGCGGCGGCGCTGCTGTGAGCCAGTCACCACCACCCTCCACCTGCAGCCACCGTCGCCATGAGCAGCGAGGCCGAGACCCAGGCGCCCCCCGCCGCCGCCGCCCCACTACCCGCCGCGGTGGCGACAGC